ACATATGGCCAGAGTCAGTGGGGATGTCTCTGTCCTGATCCAAATTGATTCAGCAACATTGGGACCAAAATATCATCCCTTCCTATTCATGGGGAATAGGTTCCAGGACCCCCCAAGGATACCAAAATCAAAGGATGCTTAAGTCCCTGACCTAAAATGGTAAATAACCTAGGGGTATTCTCCCATATATTTTAAATCATCTCTGGATTACTTATAATACCGAATATCATGTAAATACTATGTAAATAGTTAACACTAAATTTTTTTAATTTTGTATTTTTGTTGCTGGTTTTTTTTTTTTCTGATCTAGTCTTCAGAGAGATGTAGTTTTTATTTTTTTATTTTTTCTGATCTGAGGTTGGTTGAGTGCATGAATGTGGAAGCCACCAATAAGAAGGACCGACTGTATTTGGTCCTTTTTTTTTTTAAAATCCCTTTCTTGGGTTCTGGGGGACAGCATTCATTCAGTTTTTTTCCCTCTTCTCTGGAGATGCCCCTCTAAGGCTGATGTTCCTTGGGGTTCTGTTCCAGCCTTTCTTTTCTCTCCCTGCATGATCTCCTCAACTGCATGAGTTCAGTGACCACCAATGTCCTGAGGACTCACAAAGCTCTTCTCTATCATAATCTTCTCTGATTCCTCTCCTGAGCTTCAGAATTATCTATCCCACAGCCTACATCAGTGCTTCCCAACTTTTTCCGTGTCAGTACACACATAGAAAATCATGGTGTTTCATATGCCAGATAATGCAATCTGGCATAACCAAGATTGCTCTCTGATTCAGGGAGCTTGTGCTGCCCTGAGAATTGCAAAGTCCAGTATGCAGCACCACCATAACCTCTTCCCTGAGGCACACAGTTGGGAAGTTCTGATGACTTGGAGAGATGTTTCTACTAGGATGCCCCCTGGGCATTTCAATGTTCTCTCCATCACCACTATCACTTTCCTAGTCCAGCCCACATCATTTCTCGTTTTTCTCCTCAGGTACTGCAAAAACCTTGCCTAGCCTCCCTGACTTCACTCTTGCTCTCTCTATCGTCCACGCTGCAAACACACTGATCTAAAATGCAAATCTGATATGCTACCCTCCTGCTTAAAACCATTCAAAGGCTACACTGCTCTTAGGATAAAGGATGATCTACCCACTGCTTACCTTTCCAGTCTCAATTTATCATACCCCACATGAACTATATACAAGTTATCTAATACTTTATGTTCAGTGCTTAGCATATAGACTCAATTAAAATTTTTGAATGATGAAAAGTGATGAAAAAGAGGTTAAAGGGTATGAGCAGATTCATCGTATTTGTGCCAGGTAGGTTTCAAAGCACATACTGACGATGCTGCAGTCAGAATCCAGGAACATGACTGTTCCGTACAGAATTATGTACCTGCAGCAGTAAAAATCTGTTCCTATCCAGCAAGTAGTCCAAACATTAGCCAGCAGCGCCTTTCTTCCTCTTACTGAGCAGGAAAGACATCAAGATTGCACTCAGAGTCCATCCAACCAGGAAAACAAGCCAGGTTACAAAAATGTTATGAGGTTGGGCATGGTCGCTCACACTTATAATCCCAGCACTTTGGGAGGCCAAGGTGGGAGGATAGCTTGATCTTAGGAGTTCAAGACCAGCCTGAGCAATACAGTGAGACCCTGTCTCTACAAAAAAATGAAAAAATTAGCAGGGTATGGTGGTGCGCACTTGCAGTCCCAGCTCTTTGGTGGGGGCTCACTTGAGCCTGGAAGTCATGGCTGCAGTGAGCTGTGATCACACCACTGCACTCCAATCTGGGTGACACAGAAAGACCCTATCTGGAAAAAAAAGAAAAAATGTTTTGAGAGGCTAGTTACCAGCCTTACTATCTCTTGTTGCCAGAAATTCTAAACTAGAGTCAGTTTATCAACCAACGGCTAAATGGCTAAAGTGTCAACCTCTGAGAATTGAAGATGCTCCAACATTAAATGAATGACCACAGAGTATTAAAGCAGGGAACCTGAATTCAAAGTACTGATGTCAGCAGTGATGAGGTGGTTCTCTGAGATTCCATCTACCAGGCATCAGCACTACATGCATAGTTAGACTATACCACCAAACTAGTTTGTTACTAAACCAGTGGTAACAGCTTTTAGCTACCAGAGACCTAAGAGGCCTAGCTTGTTTTGTTACACAGACAAGTAAATAATGATATATGATTAGTGGTATTTCACAAGTGTGAAGAACAAACTTTGGTACTTCCATGTAATTTTTAATTTATATAAATAATAGCACTGAGGAATGAAAGTGTCTTAAGCCTCATCAAAAGACTGAAAGGAATCTTGGAACAATAGTAGCTATATTTCTTTCAACCTCTATCAGTGAGGATGAAGGTTTGTGAAGCATAGAAAATCTGCCAAAATCTGAATGCCTAAATTATCAAGTGCACAATAGCCTTTATGGAAGGAGCGCAGGTACTTGCTCTGACAAGTGCAGGTGTTCTGGCTGTGTTTATTAAACAAGGGCAAACATCTAAATGAACAGTAAAATATTGGCTGGGCGCAGAGGCTCATGCCTGTAATCCCAGCACTTTGGGAGGCTGAGATGGGCAGATCACCTGAGGTCAGGAGTTCAAGATCAGCCTAGGCAACATGGTGAAAACTCATTTCTAACATCACTGCTAACATCAGTAATTTGAAAATACAAAAATTAGCTGATGTGATGGTGCACACCTGTAATCTCAGCTGGTAGGCTGAGGCAGGAAAATCATTTGAACTTGGGAGGCAGAGCTTGCAGGGAGCCAAGACTGTGCCACTGCACTCCAGCCTGGGTGACAGACTCTGCCTAAAAAAAAAAAAAAAGAAAAGAAAAGAAGAGTAGAGTATCATCTTGATGTTCTGTTAATTTCCAATAATTCAGTTATTTGGAAACATCCAAAAGTAGTTAGAAATTCCTGGCAGACTTTTAAGGTTTTCTACCTCAAGGCAGAAATCAGGAATACAAGGCAATATTAGGACACGGACATGGACAACAGGTACATGGAGTTTTATTGGACTTTCAAGCCCTTTGAGGAAAGGACCATGTCTACTTTTTGTTGTAATCCCAGAACTAGCCCACTAATCCCTATTCAATAAATGTTAGATAATTAAATAAGAATTCACAATGCCGTAGGCTTCCAAAGATGTCACTAGCATCAAGAAATAAGGTGAAAAGGAGAAATGAAAACATGTCTATGAAAATATTTGCACCAGAATGTTAATGGCAGCCATAGTCATCATAACCCCAGCTGGAAATACCCAAATATCCATCAATTAAAGAATGGATAAATTGTAATATATTCATACAATGGAATATTGCTCAGCAATAAAAAAATCGACTACTGATACGCATGGATGGATCTCAAAAACATTACTAAGCTAAAGGATACAGACATGGAAGAGTACATACCATATATGTGAAATACAAGTGCAGACAAATCTATGGTGATATTCAGGAAGTTGCTAGGGGAGGGTGGTGATGGGTGTGGGGTGATCAACTATAAATGAGGGAACTTTCTAGGATGACGGTTCAGTATCTTGCTTTGGGTGTTAATTACATAGGTGTATATTTTGAAATTCACCAAACAAAGCACCTAAGATGTGTGTATTTTATTGCATGTTAAGAATAATTTAAGGGTCGAGCATGGTGGCTCATGTCTGTAATCCTAGCACTTTGGGAGGCCAAGCTGGGTGGATCACCTGAGGTCAGGAGTGACCAGCCTAGCCAACACGGTGAAACCCCATCTCTATTAAAAATACAAAAATTAGCCAGGCGTGGTCGTGCACACTTGTAATCCCAGCTACTTGGGAGGCTGAAGCAGGAGAAGCCCTTGAAATCAGGAGGCAGAGGTTGCAGTGAGCAGAGATCGTGCCACTGCACTCCATCCAACCTGTACAATAGAGTGAGACTCCGTAAAAAAAAAAAAAAAAAAAAGGAATAAAAAAAATTTTTTTAAGCAATAAGATGAGACAGCTGGTGGGAGTAACCATCAACCTCAAGACATCTTTTAGGTTCCAATAATGGCTGTCCTTGGGCACTCTTTTCATCAAACTACTCTATGCTTAGGAAGCCAAAATGACTTCTTTACCGTATGTCTTGTCACATCCATAGTCTCATTCTGCTCTCCTCCATAGGAAACCTCCTCCGTTAACTTGTCTGGCTTCCCAGCCTACCACTACCTATCACTATCCCATGCAGACAATCTGCTCTTTCCTACCTGAGTCTCCTTGTGCCCTTTACCCTGCCTGGACCCTATTCAAGTTCTCTCTGCCCTTCAAATCCCATTTTAAATAAGCCTCCTTCAGAAAAGAACTCTTAATCCTAGCCAATTTGTGCACCCTAAATTCCCTTATTTTTTATGTTCCTTTATTGGGCTAATATGATACTCTAAGCCGCATCCTTTGTATACCCACAACAAAAGAAATTTTAATGAATTGGGCAGAGACTGTGCCTAGGGATTCCAACGTATTTCCCTGCAGAACCCAGTTGAGAACCTACATTTCTGGGGCAGTCACTACGATGCAGGTTGTAAGGGTTGTGAGATGTGGTATCCAGGCAAGGGCAAACAGGTGTTTAATTAAGGACTAATGGGAATGATATTGAAAGCTCTGAGGGTCTGCAGGGGCCTGGATGGGCTGTTTGCTTTTCCTCATCCCCACCGAGATAGCGAATGGTTGAGAACAAGGTTGTATCCTTTCTCTGCCCAGCCTTCCCTCCTCCTAAACCAGTGAGGAAACGGCCAGCACTGCTCTCTGATGAGTGGACCCTGTTCCTACCACTGTTCTCCAGATTACCGGGGGACGACCCCATCCTGGAGGAGGGAGAGAGACGGGAGCATTTAAGGCCAAAAAGGCACTCAAGCCTTTCCCCATGGATTTACACCCAACACGTATGCAGAAAGGCAAATTACAAACACCGACGCTCACAACCACACATACACGTGCACGCCCAGCCCCACAAAAGCAAACGCGCATGCCCGTGGGCCCGCACGCACCTACTTAGTTTTCTCTGTTCTAGACGCCCTCATTCCACCCCCGCGCGGCCCAGCCCGGCGTCCTCTACCCAGGCACTGCTGAGGTTTACCAGGCCCGGCCCGGCCCGGCCTGGAGAAAGTGTTTCTATAGGGGGGAAGGGAGGTCCTTCCCACCGGAGCGGAAGCGGCGCGCGCCGGCCAGGCAGACTTAGCTCGCGCCCTGGGAACATCTGGAGGGGGCTGGGAGGGGCGCGCATCAAGGGTGAACGTGGATTGGCTGCTCGGGAGGAGGGAGGCGGGGTCAGTGCGAGGGGCGGGGCTCCCCGGCCCCTTTAAAGCCTTGACATCAGGAGGCGGCTCCGGCACCCCCCTTTCTCTGCCCCCCGACCCCAGTTCATGGCCATGGACCTGGCGGATCCGGCCTGCCCTGGCCCAGCTCAACACCTGATTTCGGTGAGTTCTGGGTCTACTTGGGATTGAAAGGGCGGCGAGTGCGGGGGGGATCCGTAGCTCCGGGCCAGGGGGAGTGGGGTGTGGAGGGTAAGTCTCTCGTGGCAGTACAGGGTCGGAGAGGGCGTCGCAGCTTCCTGCCCAGACCCTGCTGCCCCGTCCCTCCCTCCCTCCCTCCCGTCGCACCCTCCCCGGGGGTCCGGCAGCGACTCTGTGCACCCCCACCCCACCCCCTCCCGCCCCCCGCGCCATCCTTGCGCACACTCCGTGGCCCCGGAAGAGAAACTTTCGGGAGTGGGGGATGTTCCGGGGGCCGGGCTCCCTCCCTCTTTGAAAGCACTGACCTTGCCCCAACTGCTCACCCGACCCCACCCGCATCCCACCGTCCGGGTGCCGCTTAGCGGTGCCGGGTTATTGCGGGGGGAGGGGCTCTCTCCCCAAAGCGCAGGCGCGGAGACGAGCCTGGGGCTCCCTTTCGCACTCCTTCCAGTCCCCGTGGCCTGGGGCGGTAGGGCGTGGGGAAGGCGGGGAGAGGCGGAAAGACCCGGTCTCCGAGAGAACGGCCCTTCTGAGGCTTTGAGGGGCTGCGAAAAGAAGGAATGACCAGGCGGGTTGCATGCTAAAGAAAAGCTAAGGGAGGGAGAAGGGTTGGTTGGGCAGGGAGTAGGGACAGGGCAGCGCCTGCAGAAAAGGCCCTCCGGGTGCTGGCTGCGGTGCCAGAAGAATGCGGAGAATTCATCTGTGCCCGACGCTCCCCTGGCTTAGCCCGACTAAGAAAGCGGCTGCCCGGACCCTAGCTCCCCTCTCCTTGTCCTGGGCCCAAGGCCCCTAGTTGTCTTCAGTTCTGGCACGGCCCCAAGGGCACAGAGGGTCTTCACCTCCCATAGGCCTAGTTTTCCAGGCATCCCCAGGCTGGATCAGCCGAGCCCGCTTAGTCTATCCAGCTGCCACTTCTTAAAGGCGTGCCTTGCTGAGGAGCTATGGGTCTTGGGCTAAGGAGTTCTCTGGCTGTAGAGGCAATCCCTCCCTCCCACTTCTCCTCCTTCATGGGTCCTCCTGCTTAAGCACAATGGTCAGCCGGAGGAATAGGTCCCGGGCAGGAGTGGTCCTGGAGAGCGGTAGAGATGTCAATGCCTAACCGTTTTATGGTCAGTACTTTTGGGGAAAATGAACCTAGCCCATTTGCGTTGTTGCAGACCCTCCCTTGCAGACATGACACCACCTGGCTCTCTGAGACTCCTTGTGTGACAGGAAAATTCACTTCTCAAATTGGTCCCCCATCTTCCTAAAAACAACCTGGGGTTAATGGATTTCCTATCCCAAAGAAACCATGTGTATTCCTGTCTGAGGAGACATTCCCATATATTCAAGCTTGTTTTCAAATTCTGTGGTCTGTGCATGAGGTGGCTTCGGCCCTCTAGCATCTTTCTCTGGCTCTAGCCCTCAGGAAGAGAGTGAGGACCTGGAGAGGCAGGTGCTGTGGATGGAAGGGAAAAAGGATCTTCATGATAGGCCGGTGAAAACCTAAGTGTATGGGGACAAAGCTGCTATTAATAAAGGCAGAGTCAGAAGCTCTGGTCCCTACTCTTCTTGCCTTGCTGAGTGACCTTGGTCAAGACAGTTTGCTCTCGGGGCTCAGTTTCCCCATCTTTAAAACTCAGCAGTTTGATTAGAAAGCTCTAATATTCCCTTCCATCTTTTGACATTGAATGGTTCCACTCATGGGTGAGTCCATAGGGGAGAAAGATCAGATCTCTCTGGCAGAATGGTTCCATTTAGATAGAGCTGAAGTGTTGGATGTGCTTTAAATTCACAATTACCTAGGATGAGAACCCTGGATAGAGAGTACAGATTCCCTTATTCTATGCCTGACAGTCTTTGTTCCACACACCCCTGGTGCCTTGGGATATGAACTCCTGCTCCTCCTGGCTTGGGTTTGGCCCACCCATCATGGCCTGTGGTGAGACATCCCAGCCCTTTGAAGAAGGGCTGAGAGAGGAGGAGGCAGCCAAGGGCCAGCAGGGTAAGCAGATTCCCAGGAGACAGTTTACATCTCAGCTGTTGGGACTTGTTTTAGGATCTGGGCCAGGGAGCACAGCACACTCACCCACCCGCTCTCTTATAGGAGGAGGGCAAGGAGGGCCCCACTGCTTTTGCCCACCCACCCCCAGCCCTGCCTACCTCACTGCTGTACTCACACCCCCAGGTCCCAGGCAAGGGGCTAAGGAATCTTCTCCACCATGCTCATCCAGCCCAGCCAGCCTCCCAGGCCCTGCTATACCAGCCCAGCAGCTGCAGTGAGAAGCCACCCCCACCCCACCTTTTCCAGCCCCTTCCCTCCTGGGGGTAGGATTTTGTCAGGAGTTGGGCTCTCCAGGTTGGGACTTGCTTTCCAGCCCAAGAGCCAAAGGTCTTGAAGTTCTTCTTGTTTGTTTTCATCCTTGGTCTCCCAGGTGAAGGGGAGTGTTGAAGGAGAGGCAGTGATTAAAGAAGCCCTGGATTTGGTCATGTAGGGGACATATTCTCCCTGCGTTGCTTTTCCCCCTGCTCTCCTGGGCCTGGGGAGCCCTCTGCCCTGGACCCTGCTGCCTATAAGGGCAAAGCTGCAGCAGGAGGTGTTTAGGTTAAACCCCAAGGAAGCCTTCCTTACTGCTGTGAGCCTTTGGAATGGATAATGGAAGCTCCCAGGGAGGTCAGTTTCCCAGAAAGTGGCTAATGCTGGAGTCCCTGTCAGACTGAAAGATGCAGCTGTTACTAGGCAGAAGCTGCTGTTCCTTCTTGGGGTGTGGCTCTGAGGCTGGCCAGCCAGAGGCCTCGTTAGAAGCAGGAGGAAAAAGGGCCCTTGCCTGACAACTGAAGTGGGGTTCCTGGTGCCATTCATCATGCCCAGGTCACCAAAGCTGCATCTCTCAAAACAAGTGCCCTTTCTAGCTCCTGCTTCCCTCAGCCCCTCCCCCAATTCACCACCGCTCCTGCTGTCTCCTTTAACACCCCTCACCTCAACCTGGCAGGTTCCCCCAGCCCCAGTCTGGCTGCATTAATGGACCGATTGGATTTTCTATACTTGGAGTTTGGGATTTCTGATTGAACATGCAAATTTATGTAAATCAATCTGGGATCTGCCACTACATCAAAACAACACAGCACAGGCTGGAAGGAATCCTAGAGACAGTCTAGTCCAATGCCCTCGTGTTAAAAATGGGCAAACTGAAGTCCAGAGGGGGAAGTGATTCATGCTGTGGTGAGTGTCAGAGGCAGGACTCCTGATTCTGCGTTGTAGTTTTACGTGGTCCCATTCTGCCTTAATGTTTTAGGCACAAGGTAGCATGGCTGGATTTAAAGCAGAGAGGGCCAGTTCTTGAACCTGAGATAGCAGAAAGCTGGGCCTTCGGAGAGTCACAATGTTATTGCAGGAACCCCCAGGGGACTCTGGTCAGCTTTGTAACATGCTGAGGAAAAACAACTTCAAATCCCTGAGAACAAGACCTGAAATATTTTCCCCCACACACTGTCCTGGAGGGTTGGAGGACAAGGTCATTGGTTGCTGTCTGTCTTGGCCCTTGCGGTTTCTCGGGAGCTTAGATTTTGTCTGTCCCGGCGTCTGTCACAGTACCAGGCACACAGCAGGCTGTGGATGGACCTGCATATGCAATGCCTCCATCTTTACCCTTCCCTCCTAGTTTGAGTCTCTACTGCTTTCCTCCATGGACACAGTAGGAAAAGGTCTTTGGTCTCTTAGGATGCTTTCCACCCTCCTCTGCCCTCTTGGAGGGTATATGCCAACTGGACCTCCCCTGCGGGTTTCTACGGCACTGGCCAGACAGGCCTTGCTATAGGAAGGATCTCTTTATTTAGGATCAGTACCAAGAATGGAAGTGGGCTACAGAGATGGGCTGGGGTCCCCAAGAAGCAGTCTCCCCCATTTCTTGACTCTTCTTGATCTGATCTGCCTACGTGGCTATAAGATGTCCCCCACTCCCACTTCATGGACTGTGCCTATGGCATGGGGCTGTTCCCAGGGCTGAGCACTTACTTACCCTGTGGCTCCTGAGCATACTGTAGAGGCGGTGGAGATCCCCGAGGCAGCTGTCTGCCTGCTTTGTGATACTCTGGGAGGGTGGGGCATGGGCTCAAGAACAGAGGCCTTGACTCCCAGCCAGGGCTACCCACCAGGCCTGCCACAGCCTACGAGGGGGCTCGGGACACGTATCTGGGTCTTTCCTCACCTTCTGCCCAAACCCAAGTCCGCGGGACTCTGGAATGAGTGCCCCTGTCTTCAGCACTTTCCCAAAACACAGCAGGTTTAGAACTGGCATGCACACCCTGCACCACCCAGCAGCCCTCGGCGCCTATGTCTATAGCTTTGTGTGAGGGGAAATCTTTCTCCTTGGGCCTCAATTTCCTAGCCAGTGTTCCTGGATTGATCATGCATCATCATTGGGGCGTGGCACCTGCTCAATAATTACCATTTTCCCAGCTCTGGGAGTTACGCAGATGAAAGAGGAGGCCAGGCTGTTATTAAGGTGAATTATTGTTGCTGTTATTACTGATTTCTAAAACCCAGCAGCTGCTGAGAAGAGCCCAGTCAGGCACAGCACCCTGAACCTTAATTCTGGTCCTTGAACTCTGGGAATTCTCCAGTATTCACTATGCTTTTTTTTTTTTTAAATGTATAGATGTCTTAAAGGAGAGAAGCTCCCATTCTGCTGCCCCTGCTGTTGCCTGCAGGGCTGAGTGGCACATGCTGCTTAGGACCTGTGATCTGCACGTCTCCTCACTCTCATTTAGTTCAGCCTGAAATTGCCCCTGCCCCTAGACACTCTGGGTAGGCGAATGGACAGAGTTTTCCTAGGTGGGGCTGTGGGGGGCCCTGGAACTCCTGGGTGTGGCCCTGGGGTTCTCAGCAACTGCAGTTCCCAGGGACTGATTCACCTCACTCCCAGCTGGCTTGATGTGGGGGCTGTATGCAGCCCTTCTGTACAAGGATCTATTGAGACACCCCC